AAAAGAAACCCTAGTAGTGCCCTTCAGTGTGATTGGTGTTGCAATTTATATGAATGAGCACAGGGCCAGGCAGAGGCAGACACATTGTGTCATAATGACTGTGAACCCTGGGCGGTAAGGAGCTAGCAGGACTTTTAGGAAGGGAATGGGCAGAGTTAGATGCAGCAAGCCTTCAGCAGCTGCGGGAAAGGCAAGGCTGGAGGAGAGGAAGCCAGGAAGGAGGCCAGAGGACAGCCCCAGAAAGCCAGATCACGTGGCATCCGAGCACTGCGACACAAAGGTTCGCATGAATTTGTTCTTAAGCCCCCTACACACACACAGACATACTTGGGGCCTGCTCCTTCCTGGCCTACATGCATCCCGGCAGACAGCTTCTTCTGCGCTGCTTGCTGGTCCCACTCTGAAAGGGGCAAGAGTGTCGATTCTGGGAGAACTGAGATGGTTGCTCTTGAGGTGCAGACGGGAGACCACGCTGTAGTCAGCCCGGGTAGGACCAGCCGGAAAGCGGGAGGTCCTCTCTGTGGATGATTATTCCTTCCTGCTTGTGGCTCAGGATCACCTAGTGATGCCACACCTTTTAGAGACCAAGTGCTCAAACTGTACCCCAAATCCACTTATTTATCACTAAGTGCCAAAGTTACGATTAAACTTGAACATTGAGGTTTTAGTTTTTTAAAAAAACAAACTGGGGGGCTGGGGAGATGGCTCAGTGGAATAAGTGCTTTCCTGGCAAGCGTAAGGGCCTGAGTTCAATCCCCAGTTCTGCCAAAAAAAAAGAAAAAAAAACAAAAACAAAAACAAAAAACTGGGATCTCATGCTCCTTCATGCCACAGGTTTGCTATCACTGACTTAGGTGAAATGTGGAGTGGGATGTGATGGAAAAGGCAGACATAATATGAACGTAGCATTATATTCAAAGCCTCCCAATCTTCCCAATCTTCGGGCCCAGGCAGTGGGTGTTCTATGCCCAGGAGGCATGAAGCAGGGGTGTCCACTCAGAAACAGTAACTGTAACCTCCTAACTAACTGTAACCTCCTTTCCTCTCTCCCCAGGTCACACCTCAAGGGGGCGTGGGGACCTTACCACTGTCCCAAGCTTCCAGCAGCCTGAGCACAACAGGTCAGGGAGGGCGGAAGCTGGTGAGGGGGCTGGGAGGACATGGCGTGGGCTGCAGCTTCAGTGGCTCTGTTGGCCATAGGCCTAAGAGCTGAGTCTGGAGGGGTGGAAGACCGAGGGCAGACCCCACTCCTCTTTTCCCATAGCAGCAGGACTCTAATCTGCTACATGATTTCCTTTGAGGAGAAACATGAGGTCAACCTTGGGTTTAGTTGGTTAATTAGTGTTTTTTGTTTTGTTTTTTTTTTCTTTTTCTTTTTCTTTTTTTTTTGAGATAGGGCCTCCCTATGTAGTTTAGGCTGGTCTTGAAGTCACTATGTAGCCCAGAGTGGCCTTGAACTCCAAGTGACCTTCCTGTATCTCCTGGAGCTCTGGGATAACAGGGCGCCACTCTAGGTCTTTGGGTTTTTATAAGTTCTGTGAACTCAAGAACCTACTTTATTTCTCTGAGCCTTAGTTTTTACAGATACATAAAGTCTATCTACATAAGTATGTACACACAGGAGTGTGGGGACTGGGATACAGCTTACTGGGGGAGCACTTGCCTAGCCCTAGGTTCAAACACCAGCACAAGGGAAAATTTTATATATACCCTCTCTGGAGGTTTAAAAGTAGTAAGAGGATGATGTGATGGCTAGCCCTGTTCTAAGCTCTTTAAAGTTTTGACTGCTGGGTATGGTGGCTCATGCCTATAATCCCAGCTACTCAAGAGGAGAAGGATGGATGAGGCAGGAAGATTTGCAAGTTCCAGACTAGCATAGGCAATTTAGTGAGACTTGCCTCAAAGAAACCTAAAGCAAAACAAAAAAGGGAGGGCCAGCCAAATACTCAGCAGATTAAACTGCCTGCTTAGGCAGAGGCAGCAGCTAGGAGTTCCATCCCCGGGCCTGCTGTGCTGGCCCCACCCGTGGGGGGCCTTGAGATGGCAAATGAGCCTGGGCTGGGCATGGTGGCACGCACCTATAATCCTAGCACTTGGGCAGCTCTAAATAGGAGGATCACTCAAGTCTGATCTATGCAGTGAGACCCTGTAGACCCTGTAAACCCTGCCCTAAAATAAAAAAATTAAAAAAAAAAACAAAACAACCAAACAAACAAAAACAAAAAGGGGCTGGAGATGTAGCTCAGCAGTAGGTGTTTGCTGGACTAGGATTCTGGAGGCTGAGGCAGGAGGATCATGTGGGTTATTTTTCCCCCTAGGTGTTTTGTTTTGTTTTGTTTTTTTAAGTATATTTAGTACAAGGTCTTACCATGCAGCTTGGATTCATAGTGATCCTCCTGTTTTCATCCTCCCTAGCACTGGAATTACAGGCCTGTGCCTCCACCCTACTCACTCAGCACTCCTGCCTAGGGGTGGGGCAGGCGCGGCAGGCAGTACCAGGGATTGAACCCGGTCTCTGTGCTCGCCCAAACAGGCACTTAGCCCACTGAGCTATCTTGCCAGCCCTCCCCCAGTTTTTTTGAGACAGCATCTTGCTTTATAGTTCAGGTGAACTCATGGTAATTCTCCTGCCTCAACTCCAGTGTTAGGATTAGAGGCATGGGCCAACATGCAGGCTGACAAAGAGCATGAGTTTGACGTCAGCTTGGATTATAGAATGAGTTCAAGGTCAGCCTACTATACTACATAGGGAGACCTGTCTCAAAAAAAAAAAAAAAAAAATTGGCTGATTTAATTTCCACAGCCATTTAATGAGATAGGTTCTGTTATGCCAATTTTCCAGATGTGATGTCAAAGAGGTTAAGGAATTACCCCGGGACACAACAGGGATGTGACAGAGCCAGGAATCTCTGTCCCCCGCAGGCTACCCGAGCCTGCGTTCCTCCCCGTGTTGTGTTGCCCATTCCTGAGTTATGTCTGAACCTTGTTCCCTGCCCCCTGGAGCCCGGAGAGAGCCCTGTGGCCTTGCCTCCCAGGTGCCCCTTTTCCTGTCTGCGTGGATGCGGCTCAGGGCACAGGCTCAGCAGTGGCAGCTGCTCCTATAAAGATTACTGTGCCCCTAGAAAGGGCCCCAGGAGATGGATCTGGGCTCTGGGAAGAAGGGCACGGACGTTTCGGTCTGTTCTGGCTGAGGAGATACTGCGTGAGGTGGAAGGGATGAATAGTAGTCAGGGCTTGACCCTGGCTTCCTCCTCGGGGACCAGTGGAAGCTGAAGACCCCATCTCTGTCTCTCTCTGGCAGTTACTACCTTATCCTCAGCTGTGGGGACGCTCCACCCCAGCCGGACAGCTGGAGGGGGTGGGGGCGGGGGCGGGGCCGTGCCCCCCCTCAATTCCATCCCCTCTGTCACTCCCCCACCCCCGGCCACCACCAACAGCACAAACCCCAGCCCTCAAGGCAGCCACTCGGCTATCAGCTTGTCGGGCCTGAACCCCAGCACTGGGTAAGTGTGCAGCTAGCTATTGGTGGGGAGGCTGCAGGGAGAAGCAGGGACGCTGTTGCTTCCAGGGTGGGGAGCTGTGCCCCAGCCTTGCCTCAGGTTCTCGCCCCGCTAACACCTCTGCTTTGCTCTTGCAGAAGCACAATGGTAGGGTTGAGCTCCGGGCTGAGTCCAGCCCTCGTGGGCAACAACCCTTTGGCCACCATCCAAGGTGCGTGCTGCCTCCTGTCGCTCCTGTCACCACCAGCCCTGCTCCCCCTGGGGCCCCAGGCCCCCCATTGCCACTCCAGTCATGCCATCCTGCCCTGCTCACTGCATTGCTCGCCTCTTCATCCCCATATGCCTTTGGGGAAGGTGTGAGGGGTGCTGACGGAAGGGGCTCTCGGAAGGACAGGGATAGCTGGGGCTCTCGGGCAGGATACCAGGAGGCGGAGGTCTCCCCTGGCCTGGCGCACCCCCAGCCTGGCCTCTCTCTCTCCCTCCCCACCAGCCCTGGCCTCTGGTGGAACCCTGCCCCTTACCAGCCTTGATGGCAGCGGGAACCTGGTGCTGGGGGCAGCCAGCGCAGCCCCGGGGAGTCCTAGCCTGGTGACCTCGCCGCTCTTCTTGAACCACGCTGGACTGCCCCTGCTCAGCGCGCCCCCGGCTGTAGGCTTGGTCTCCGCAGCGGCTGCAGCTGTGGCAGCCTCCATCTCCAGCAAGTCTCCTGGCCTCTCCTCCTCATCTTCATCCTCGTCCTCCTCCACGTGCAGCGAGGTGGCAGCACAGACCCCTGGAGGCCCAGGGGGGCCAGAGGCAGGGTCCAAGCCTGAGTGAGGGCCCCCCATGCCTCCCCTCCCACTCCTCTGACTCCCACCTTGGTCCCCTGCCTGGGAAAAGGGCGAAGAGACCATAGGTGGGGGTGCAGTGGGTCCTTGGATCGGGAGTGACAAGGGAGGAAAGACCAAAAATACCAACCGTCCAACCAAAAAAAAAAAAAAAAAAAAAAAAAAAGGAAAGAAAAAAAAGAAAGAGACAAGAAACTAACCAACAGAAAAGAAAACCAAAAATAATCACAACAGAAACCAGCTGCCCCAAAGGAACCAGAGGTGAAAAACAAACCAAAAAACCAAAAACAAAAAAAATTCCCCACAAAAATCAAACCAAAAACCCAGCTGCGAGCCAGACCTCAGCGTGCTCACCCTCACTGCTATGACGCCAAATAAGAGCCCCAGCCAGACGCGGAGCAGCCTCCTGCAGGTTGGACCTCGTGCTGTGAGCCCTGGCTGTGGGGTCCACCCCCCACCCTGCCCCTCTCGGTGGGGGTAGAGAAGAAAAAAAGAGACTGTGCCAGCCTGCTGACTCCAGCCTCAGCCCTGGGCCAGCAGAGACAGGGCACAGTCTGGGGCCGAGGGCCTGGGCCCAGAACCATCCACCAAATGTTCTTTTCCAGAAGGTGAAAGGGCCTGAACAACCTCACACCAAATATTCAGTAGCTTCATCCAAAGGATGTACAGAATTTTTAGCATTGTGCTCAACGGAATGTGTCCCTATCATGTGTCCCCACTCCCCTCCTTGACCCGCAACTCTCCCCATCTGGGCAGGGGGTCTTGCTTTAACCTCCTTCCTCCTCCCAGCCTGGGGAGCATTCAGGGGAAGGCCTGGGGATGGCTTTTTAACCCTGTACCTCTCCCTTTTTCCTTTGAAGGATGGGCTAGGCCATTTCGCCAAGTTCAGCTCTCCCAAGTTCCTCCTCAGCCCAGTCACCCTTTTCTTCTCTGGAATTACCCTCCTCCCAGCCTACGGGAAGGGGGACATTTCAGGCAAAAGGAGATGAGGTGAGGGCATTCAAGTTGTCTTTTTTTCCATCCTGTCTCAGTTTCCCTGAAAACAAATTCATATTCCAGTGCCTATCCGTGGGATCCTTCATGTTCTTTGACATTAACCAGAAACCAAAAAGAAGACTCGCCTCGCTCTACCCACCCCGTGCCCCTCCAACACTGGCAGATGCCTCTCCCCCCCACGCACACACGCACGCACCCCAGTGGTGGGTTCCTCCCAATGGCAACCCCATCAGGGTCCATGTGGCAGGGACAGTGCCATGACCTGTGGTCCCCATTCAAGAGGGCGCTCTGGTGGCCACCACTCCCATGAGACCTCTACTCGTCTTGGCTGGATCCTGTGTGTTCGCCCAGCCCTGGACACATCTCAACAATGGACAGAGAGACACCGCTGGGAGCCACCTTGCCCTCCTGCTATTGTGGAGACCAACAAAGGTTTGAACCAAAAACAAACAAAAAACAAAAACAGAAAAACCAAACAATAAATTAAAACTAGAAAAAAAAAGAATTTATAGAGATATATATATATTTAAGGGAAAGAAGATGAGGACTCTTCAAGAATAAGAAGGAGCCGCGAGGTGGAGCCAAGCGCCTGCACCGGTGGTCCAGGCCCTTGGTCCCTAAGGCGGATTGAAGGAAGGATGCTTCTTTCTCTTCACAAATACCTCATGGACGTTGTCTTCGGGAAAGCCGGAGGGGGGGACGGCTGGGGCAGGGCCTGTCCCTCAGCCAGGGTGGCCAGAAGCGGGTGGGCGGGGCTGAGAGAGGGTGTCAGGGACAGGGGTGAAGAGCCTCAAACTCCGCCCCCCCAATCAACAGAAAAAGCTTTAAAAAAAAAAAGAAACAAAGAAAAGACAGGAAAAATGAAGAAAACAAAAGGAATGGACAAAGGAAAACTAACAGTTTTTGGGTGGTTTGATTCCTCCTTTGATTTCTTTTTCTGTTCTCTTCTGTCTCCTACCCTCTCTTCTCTCTTCTCTCTCTCTTCACTCTTATCCCCAACCCCCAATCTTATTCTTTCTGTGTCTGTCCTCAAACCAAAGTGTTGCTGTGAAGGACGCGAGCCATTGAAATCAGAGTGGCCCCCGCCCCTGGCTGGGCAGGAGCAGAGGGAGGGGAGAGCCCGTGGCGACAGGGCAGCCTCCGTACTTTCTGCTGGACACTCCGAGGAGAGGCAGACAGAGCCCCAGGCCTCAGCGTTCTCTTTTCTTCTGGTCTCTTCTCCCACCCAGGAAGTGAAACTATCAGGCTGGGCCAAAGAGGCAGCAGAGACTCAGCGGTCGCAGGGGCCTCGGGTGCCTTGTCTGGGCAGTGATGGAGTGGCCGCCCCTCCCACCCCTGGCACCGATGGGGACTGGCACCTGTCAGCCCATCCTTGCTGGAATGTAAGCATCTCCACTGAACTGACTCCCTGCCCTCACCCTACCTCTGAGTTGGTCCATTTTGATTTCTTGAAAAGGGACTGGCAAGAGAGCCTGGGGCCCCACCCAAGGGTAGAAAGGGGGCCAAGGGCCCCTGACCAGATAGGAAGGACATTTGAGCAGGACAGTGCGAAAGGAATTACAACCAGAAACCCCCTCCGAGAGGACAGGCAGCATGGAAGGCATGGTGGAGATGACTCA